GCATACTAATACCAATACATGCGAAATTACGTACTATTAATCTTGGAAAACTAAACGCCGTACACGCGAAATTATGTACTAATAATTTAATATAATAAAATCAAGTTTACGATTTTCATATCAATGAATTAGTGTAATTGTCTATTGTCCCACCAATACATTGGCTTACCACAATTGCTTTGATTCGATTTCTTTTATTGTAGATAGTAATAGAACCATCATCCAGAATCTAATATACAAATATCCTTCTATTACTATGTCGTTATCGTGCGTGCGTAAATCGAAACCTGCTGATTTCAACCCCTAAATTTCATATGTGTGGCTTACAGACCGGCAAAAAATTTCGGAAAAGATGACAACGTGGTGTTTAACTTTTTTTGGCATACTCAAGCATGCAATACTTGTCAGTCGATCATTATCATCAATCCTTATGCACAGCCGCACAAGTTCAGAATCTTTATACTAATATGATCATGAATCTGGTTATTCTGAATGTGATATACCAATAGTGGACCTGAATATAATAATAAATTTAACATATAACGAATTCCGGATATACCAGAAAAGTCACTGTCTTTGCACATTAATATCTGCGATGTCGTATTTCCCCCCCTTTCTTTTTCCTCGATAGATTGCACACTCGCAGAAATCACGCTATTGGTGATAAGAATGGAATGACATTCTAGGGGATTCGCGAACATTCTCTACAAGTCTTATTATACTCGCCAGTATTTATCAGTATTAGTTTTTTATTGTATTTATCCGCCGCTTTCACCGTGTTATTCCGAACGGTATTATTATAGCTATTATTTAGAGTTATGCAGATCATGGTAATCATGGCGATCATCAAATTATCGAATACCCCTCCCTTCCCCAACTTCGAAAGAATTTTTCACTCTCATGGAGGCTTGAACCAATTCGCTGGATTTACCTTTATGTGTATTATTATAACGCACTTTGTATTTGCATCATTATTCATGTAATAGTAATATAATAATAATTCTTGTTATTAGGTAAGTTAAATTCTGATAGTGGCAAAGAAAACAATACCAATTATCACGATACATGTTCATCGTCTCGAGATGAAAATTGCAGGTATATTATCGAGTACGCATACTAGTTACACTGGACAGAATGTTGTACAGCACCAAGATTGCTTGCGTAATCAATGACACAAATCTAATATTCTGACATGAACAAATTACACAATATAATTCAAAATTTTGGTACTTTGTCTTCGTGTTTGAATCGCTCTAGTACTAGAGTCTGATTACTTATTTTGCGCTGCTTTGTTAGGTCGGAATACATTGACGTAATGACCTCGCAGAAATACTTCTATTAGGTTTGTACTAGGTTGACAAAACCATACTTGAGAAATCTTACAGTATAGAAATGCAATGAACAAATCATGTGAAATGCTTGCATAACAACCTATCACAACTTTATAATAGAAAGAATCGTAATGGATATCATTAGACGTCAGGATCAATTATTAGAGTCTTGCTCAGGACATGTCTATCTGACAATATAGTACTTATAATTTGCATTATTATAGCATTATCACAGACCTGCGATAGCAGGCGATGGTGATAGTTGTTACACGTGCACTTAAGAGAATTATTTCAGCCACTGATATATATTAATATTTGTTATTATAGGATCTGGATTCTTACTACCGGAAACATTATATGTCTACATGTTCTACTTACTGCAACTGCTTAGCTACATGCTTATTTGTTATATGATGTTGATATATGATGGACACATGTTATTAATAACTAATGAACGTTTACTATCACTTATTTAGGGCTATTTGGGGTCATTGTACTATTATCTATTTACACAGGATATGGCCGGCATGCACTTAGTATGTTTATTAATAACGGATAGGATGTAAGTAAGCTATTTTGCCTTTAAAGTTGAGAATCAATACAATAAACAACCTGTTGTCTCTTGTCTCAGTCAGTATGCTTTACTCTAAACAGCACCAAAATAAAAATCATTTCGAAGGTAACATAAGTTTGACGAATCATGATTTCCTGGAGAACAAGTGTCATGACAGTCATGAACAAAATGAATTCTAGGAGTATGATCTATAAAAGAAATTGGGAAAACACAACGCCACTTCCAGGTATCTCTATCACACAGGTACAGTGGAACATCCAAATCATGCCGTTCGTTCCTTGCTTCTAACCAACTGAAAATGAAAAAGGCATAATAATCACCACTGTTTGCTCGGTGACGAATTATGGCACTGATGGTAGCATATGCCGTTCCTTCACTTTCTTCTAGGATATCAACTACACTCAGTGGAAAAAAGTCACCGGACACTTTGTATATTTGAATATTGCTCGGGATAATGTATAATAAAATGACTG